CTCAATAGATGCTGAAAAAGCATTTGACAAAATTCAACATCCATTTATTATAAAAAATAAAACAACCTTGCAGAAAATTGGAATAGATAGTCATTATCTCAACTTGATAAAGGCTATCTATGAAAAGCCAACAGCCAATATCATATTCAATGGTCAAAAACTGAAAACCTTCGTGCTAAAATCAGTAACAAGACAAGAATGTCCACTGTCACCACTCCTGTTCAGTATAGTTTTGGAAACATTAGCCACAGCAATTAGACAAGAGAAATAAATAAAAGCAATAAAGATAAGAAAGGAAGAACTAAAACTGTCATTATTTGCTGATGATATGATGCTCTACCTAGAAAACCCCAAAAAACTCCTCCAAAAGACTTCTAGAATTAATTGGCAGATTCAATAAAGTAGCTGGATACAAGGTAAATACTCAAAAATCAATAGCCTTCTTCTACAGAAATAACAAACTCACTTAGAGTGAAATTAGGGAAACATGCCCTTTCACAATAGCATCCAAAAAAATGAAATATCTAGGAATAAATCTAACAAAGGAAACAAAAGACCTCTACATTGACAGCTACAACACTCTGAAAAAAGAGACTGAAGAGGATATAAGAAAATGGAAAGACATCTCTTTCCTGGATAGGAAAAATCAATATAGTGAAAATGGCCATACTTTACAGATTCAATGCAATCCCTATTGAAAATACCAATAGTATATTTCACAGAAATAGAGAAAACAATCCAAAAATTCATTTGAAATCAGAAGAGAACTAGAATAGCAAAAGAAATTTTAGGGAACAGAGACATGGCAAGGGGGATCACAATCCCCAACTTGAAACTATACTACAAAGCTGTTGTGATAAAACAGCATGGTACTGGCAAAGAAACAGACCCAAGGATCAATGGAACAGATTAGAAGATGCAGAAAAAACTCCTGACATACTCAACTACCTCATCTTTGATAAAGGAGCTAACAACCCTCAGTGGAGGAAAGATAGCCTCTTTAATAAATGGTGTTGGCAAAACTGGATTTTAACTTTTCAAAGATTAAAACTAGACCTCCATCTTTCACCATGCACTAAACTAAAATGCAAGTGGATTAAAGATTTAAATATTAAAAAACAAACACTAAAGTTGCTGGAAGATAAGTTAGGTAGAACTCTTGAAGATATTAGCATAGAAAAAGACTTTATGAACAAATCCTCAGTAGCACAGGAACTAGCAGGAAGAATCAACAATTGGGATCTCATCTGTTTAAAAACTTTCTGCACTTCCAGAAAAATCACAAGCAGAGCTAAGAGACAAGCCACAATATGGGGGTAAAAATTTACCAGCTGTTCCTTAGACAAAGGTCTGCTATCTAGAATATATAAATAACTAAAAAAAAAATCAGATCCCCAAATGTAAAGACCCAATTCAAAAATGGGCATCTGAAATGAACACACATTTCTCAGACAAAGAAGTAAAAGCAGCAAATAAACATGAAAAAATGTTCAACCTCACTGGTAATTCGAGAGATGCAGATGAAAACAATACTGAGATTCCACCTCATCCCAGTAAGAATGGCTGCCATCAAGAAATCAACCAATAACAAATGCTGGCAGGGTTGTGGGGAGATAGAAACCCTTCTTCATTGTTGGTGGAAGTGCAGACTGGTGCAACCACTGTGGAAATCAATATAGAGATACCTCAAACAACTAGGATTGGAAGTCCTATTTGACCCAGCTATTCCTCTGCTGGGTATCTTCCCAAAAGAATTTAAAAAATCATACCACCATATGCTCACCCATGTTTATAGTGGCACAGTTTGTAATAGCTAAAATTTGGAAACAGAACAACCGCCTATCAACTGGGGCCTGGATAAAGATGTGTGTGTGTGTGTGTGTGTGTGTGTGTGTGTGTGTATGGGTGTGTGTTTAATAAAATGGAGCACTTCTCAGCCATAAAGAATGACAAACTAGAGATATTTATAGATAAGTGGATGCACATTGAGGCCATACTCTTAAGTGAAATTAATAAGTAACATGTGTAAACACAGAATAGTTTCTCTGGTGTGAAAAATTAAAAGTGTAAATAAGGATCAAAATGCATAATTGATATTGTGTAATAGGAAGAAAAGGTGTAAAAGAGAAGAGTAGAGGAAGTGTGAGGGGTAGGGGAAAGGTGAAAAGGAAAAAGAAAAATATATGAAAAGGAAAAACATGGAAACAATGACTTTGTAAACAGGGAAGGGTGGAAGGGCTGCAGGGAGGGCTGAGAATGGGGAAAAATATGAACCAAGGTAAGTCATGTAAAGGTACAAGATCCCAATGATGAATGTAACTGTATTGTATACCTAAAATGTACCAGTAAACTTAATTAAAGAAAAACTCTAGATTTACCTGTTTCTTCTTTCAGGTCTTTAATTTTTGCTTGATATTCATGGCTCTTTTGGTGTATTACACAGAATCTTTGTCTTCCTAGTGGATTGATCATTCTTTCATCTACAGAAAGTTTTTCTGCCATTTTAGTCTGTCATTTCATTTTGTTTCTTCCTATAAGTTCTCATTCCTCCATTTTTATGTGACTTGAATATATATTGAGATTTAACTTGATGTTTCTATGTGCTTTTGAGTGGGACTTTTTGTGTAGCTATTTTAGTAGTAGCTTTGGGCATTACAATATTCATGTTTGACTGACTACAGTCTACTGGAACCAATATTCCTCCACTGAGTAAATTGTAGGAACTTTCCTCTTTTGGAGTCCTTTTTATTTTCCTTCACTTTTGAATATCACTGTCTTGAGTATCAGGTGGTTTTATACTTTTGTTTCAATCATCAAATGTGGTATTTAACACTCATGTGTATTCGTGGAAAGTAGAGCCTGTGTGTGGTTTCTGTTTCCTTTCTCTTCCTCCAAGATGTGTTTTTTTTTTTGTCTCAAATATTTATTTTAGCCATTATTTTAAAGCAGGTAGATCTGATTCTTTGAGTTTTCTCATATTTGAGAATGTCCGTATTTCTCCTTTATTCCTGAAGGATAGTTTTGCTGGGTATAGAGTCTGTGACTGGTGATTCATCCATTCAGTATTTGAGAAAGTACTGCTTCTTTCTGTCCTCCATGGATTCAGAGGAGAAACACAGGCATTCAAGTTTATCTTCTGCTTAATTGTATGATGTGCCTTCATGTGGATTTCATTGGGCTTACCATCTTTGCTATTTTTTAAAATCTATGAGGTGTTTTCTTTTGCTAAATTGGGGAAATTTTCAGCCATTATTTTTCCCATATTCTTTCAGCTCCACTCCTTCTCTCTCTTGAACTCCCACCATAGAATATCGAATTTACAGTCCTGAAGTCCTTGACAACTTTTCATTGCTCACTTGCTTTTAGTCTGTCTTCTCTCTGGGTTCAGGTGAGTGAATTCTATTGAATTGTACTGAATAGCTCACTCACTATCCACTGACATCTCTACTCATCCACTGAGATTTTTATTTCTGTTATTATATTTTCTGTAATTACATTTTAAAAATACATTTGCTTTACTAGTTGAGAATTTTTATTTTGACACTTGTTTTAAGAGATTTTTAATTGCTTGTCAAAGCATTTTCATGATTGTACTTTGAAATCCTTTGTCAGGTCCTCTCAACACCTGATCCATATCAAGGCTAACCTGATCGATGTCTTTCCTCATTCAGGTTGTGAAATTTGTGGTTTTAAATTTGATGGTTGATTTCTGCTAGTTCAGTTCAGAGGTCTGGGATCCATTTTTTTTTTTTTTTAGTTACTTTTGCAAGCATTTATCCTGTTTAGTTTATAACTCAATCCTGGCCTCCTTTCTATGGGCAGTAGTTCCAATAAGCTTTTCACTTCCAGAGCTTCCTTGTCTTACTTTTCTCTTTGGTTTATCTGGTGTCTCTAGATCCTATTGACTTGGCTAAGACAACAAAAAGGATTTCCCCAGGATGGGTGGCTGGATGTCTCATGATGAGTGAGGAAGATTCAGGCCATGGAGACCAAGAGGCTTCCTAGTTGGGCCTTTTGTTTTGGGGTACCTCTCCAGTTTGTTCCTTCAGCTCTGGTGTTACCTGGTGTTTAGGGTGCAAGAGGTTCCCACCCCACCCACCCACTGGTGGTAGAGGACTCCCTAGAAGGTGTCAGAAGAACTCCAGTTAGAGCCAGAAATGAATGAGCTAACCTGGATATTTCTGTTGTTAGTTTGGGGTGGACAAAATTGGTTAGGGTTAGTCACCTTCCACTGGATAGAAAAAACACAAAATGCCCTGTAACCATGTGCCTCCTCTAGTCCTAGGATGCCAATCCAATTCATCACCTTCATACCTCCTAGAGTCCTCCTTTGGTTGTCTCTTGAGCTATTTTCAAGGCTTATAGGTGTGTTTAGATATGTTTATGCTATCTCAATTGAATTACCAGTCCCAAATCTTTAAATAATTTGTTTGAGAGCTAGGCGTGGCGGCGCATGCCTGTAATACCAGCACTTGGGAGGCTGAGGCAGGAGGATCGCTGTGAGTTTGAGACAAGCCTGGACTACATAGTGAGTTCCAGGTCAGTCTCAACTGCATAGTGAGACCCTGTCTCAAAAAAAATAGTAATAATTTGAGTTTGCAATATATCCTACAACTATTGTGTAGCCAATGAGGTATGCCTTACCAGGTAACAGTGGGCAAAGAGGGTATTAATGGAAGGGGATTGACTGGGAGTGTTTAGGGCTAGAAGGATCAACATGGCTTGGATCAGCTATGAAGAGCACACACCAAGCCTCTGGCAGGTGGCACACAGGTTAAGCAGCATGAGTCACTGGGCATCTGACCCTCTGTGGGTGGTAACTGGAGTATGGAATCTTCAAACACTCAAGCACCTGAAGATCACATATTTTTTTTGCTTGTTCAAGGAAAAATATGCACAGTTTTATGTAAAAATACAGATTTAACCAGTTTCTTGGTAATATTAAAAGAAAGTAAAACAGCAAATAATTTCATTTGATAAGAAGAAGAAAATATTCATACCTGTTCTGTGGGCATTTCACCAAATAATGTCTCACTGTGAAGGAAAAAAAAAAGAATAGGAGATGGTAAGTAAATGCTACTTAAAATATATGCACTCCAGGAGCTACATGAAATGCAGGGGCCCAGCCTTTCCTATGTCTTGGTGCTGTATCAGCCAATTCTCAGGCAGAGGAGCACAGCAGAGCCACCTCAGGGACTCCGCAGTGGCTTGATATTATCTAATTCTGGACTTGTCCAGGCACAAAGCCACATACCCTAGATTTCTGTTACATAACATACAGTATTCATTTTAGGCCAAAGCAGACTAAGTTGTTTCCAGCCTGAAAGACTCAGCAGTAAGTCACCCAACTCCTGGGGTGTGTCTCAGTCATGAGGAAGCCCTCTTGGGGCCAGATGGGACAACTGGTCTCCAGGTAGAGCTCTTCCCTATAGAATGGGTTTGCATTTTCTGACTGATGCTCTTCTGGGACTCAATTAAAGAGGCCCTTCAGAAAACATCCTTGGAGCAAGATATCCCTTCCACAGCAGGTCTCCTTGGGGGAAACTAAATGATTCTGACTACAGAGGAAAAAACAAAAACACTCAGGCACTGAATCCAACAAGTGTGCAATATAAGGCTTGTACCTGAGTTCACTTCAAATGGGACAGCTGGGTTGTAGCACATGGCTACACTGATGGTCAGTGAGTCACCCCTCCTATTATCTGTCCATACCCATGCTGACTCAGGGCTTGGTCACATGGTTTGCTTGGGATGAAGAAACATTAGCCACTTGTCACAAGCACAGGCATAAAAGGTGCTCTGGAGAATTCTTCTCCTGACACACAAGGAGACCTAGCTGGCCCACTGAGAGATGGGGGCCCATACAGCAGCCATCAGGTGTCCCAGCCACAGCCTGAGCAGCAGGACCTGGCAGATCCCAAACAACAACAGCTGTACAGGTGATACTGGCAGAGGCCACCAGAACTGCACAGAGGGCTCAGACCTGGGGAATTGGGAGCAAGTGAGAGAGTTGTGCTAAGCCTTTGGCCTTGGGGTGATCTGTTGTACCAGCCACCAAAGCAGGTTCCACAGCAGAATGAGACTCTAGCTCCAGCATGGGCTGTGTGGGTTTAACTGGTCCAACCCCCTACTAATACCTCCATTCTCTCTTCATCCCATTTAGGATGAAGCAATGATAGAAACTCAGTGAACAATTAAGGTATTTATGGCTATCCCCCTAAGCTTATTAAGTGGGTCGGCAGGCTTCAGTCTAGGGTGTGTACTCCCTGGGCCTACTCAGATGGGACACTTTTAAGGGAATTAATTTCTGGGTTTCTGTCTTCTCTGCATTCATCCCTAAGAATTCGCTCTCTTCCTGTATGCCTCACATCTGACTGTTTTCCTTCCCTATTTAACACTGTACCCCTTCTACTTTCTAAAACCAAGGCACACCATTCCTCTCAGGACCTGTCGCACAGACCTAGCTAGGATGGAATGCCAGCAGCAAGCAAGACATGGGGTGATATGTTGGCATCTAAACTTCTAAAAAGGGCACGTTCTTCATATTTTGCTTCCAAAGGCATTGAATGATGACTTAACCCAGTTGTCAGCTGATGGAGTATTAAAGAACATTTTGATGCTAGAGCACTATATAACTTTTGACATCTCATTCAGAGCCAGTTTGAGGCACACTCAGTGGTATAAGAAAATTTCATCCACTCCTGCCTCTTTTTCTATCTTAAAGGAGGAATTTTAAAGCTAACATCTACTAATAAAGTAGGAGTAGGATTGAGGGCAAATTCCACCCCTTTGGCAAAAGGGTATGTGAAGCAAAAACAAAAATCCATTTCAAAAAAAGTGACTCTCCACTATGGTTTTACTTATTACTATTATTATTTATCTACATTTATAATATACCTATGAGATATATTATTTATTTTATTCTAGCTTTCCAATATTGCTAATTTTGCAACATTAATAACTTAATCTTATTTTAACAATTAAAGACTTATGGAATAATCATATGAAAAATAGTAATAGGCTATTATTTTACTGATGAATATGACAGGAGGATCGGTAAAATACTTTCAAAACAAAACATTTTTAAAAACAGGATAAAATTTTGTGGAGAAAGTAGACCAGAGATAAAAGTTCAAGGAGAAAAAGGGACAACATAAACCTTCTAAATAGCTAAATCTTTTTCAAGGCATCTTTAAATAAATGAGAATTATAATTAAAATCCAGACCTTCTAATGTAAAAGATAGACCTGCCTGCCACATTTGAAGATAGCAATATGTGCAATGATTAGGAAATGACATTCTTTGAAACAATTCACATTTAAAATTAAAATCTTATATGTCCACAGAGAAAGGTCAAGGGTATGCAGTTCTGGAAATTGTTTTAGGAGCTATGCAGGCAAAAAGGTTTGAAGACCGCAGCTTTGTCCTGTGACCCTCGCAAGTAACTTCTCGGTACTCTTAGGTTGCAGTGAGAAACACAGAAGTACACAGAGAGATTGATAAATTTGCCAAGGTCACCCAGTTGGTTTTATGGGCTGAACTGCATCCTCTGCAAAGTATGTGGGTCCTAGCCCAGCACTTTAGACTCCTGCATAGAAGGCACCCAGGCTGCCCAGGACCAGTGGCCTCAGAGCTCAGAGAGCTTGCATCCTGTTTTATGGTTAGCACCTGGGTGCTCAGAACACCATTTATTCAGGGTCTCAGAAGATCTGCTTCATAAATAAAGAAACTTGAATCCAGGCTCTAAAATCAGGACTCTTTTTAGGAGGCTGCAGGAGAAGCTCCATCCCCCTAAAGGAAAGGTGGCCCCTCTTCCTCCAGCATCAAGACCCAGAACAGCCAGCAAGAGCTTGTGGGGCCTCCAGCTCAAGAGCAGGAAGAAGTCCACCTGTCCCAACTCCCCAGGCTTCCTACAGCCTGGGGTCCTCCTCTGCTCCCCGCAGTCCCCAATCACTGCATTCTGTCCTGTGGCTCCTCCCTCCATTCCAAGTCTGGCATGAGTGGACACAGCCTCCTGGGGCCTCTGTCAGGAAAGGCCACTCACTGCCTTTTCATCTGTTTTCGAGGGAGGCCACTGGGAGAGCGCTTGGGAACAGGGGAGGATGGTGTAAGGAGCTCTAGGATGCCCTGTTTCTGGTTCCAGTACTGAGCACCAACCAGACCCTGCTGGAGAGGCCCTGAGGGGTATAGGTGATGAGGTCAGGTGCCCCTCTTCCCTGCTGGCTCCAGGGGTCTCAAAGACTGTGCCCAGAGGCTGGGGTTTTAGCTGAGTGGTGTCACTCCTGCCTCACAAGCACAAGGTCCTGAGTTCAAGTCCTGATACCAGAAAAAATGTTAAAATATTGAAAAGGAAGGAGGGGCTGCAGGTGTAGCTCAGGGTAGACCACTTGCCTAGCCTGTGTGTGGCCCTGGTCCAATTACCAGCACACACACTCACACACACACACACACACACACAGACTGTGCGCTTCCAGGCTCAGATACAGGAAGCAGGGACTGTGGGGCCATTCAGAGTAGCAAGCTAGACCAATCGACCTTAGAGACCAGTGTGCTTGAGGAACCCAGAACAGCTCAGAGCTCAGCTAGAGCCACCAAGGTTGTTGTTGGGGTAACTCAGCTGCAAAGGCCTGGGGTGAGGCTCTGGGCACTGCTGAGATGACAGAGTAGAGACAGAGACTTACTGTGTGGGAGAGGAAGTGGTTGCAGCAGATGGTACAATTAGCTCCAGCTCAGGAGATCAAGCAGAGGTCATGAGGTCAGAGGACACAGCAAAGGGCTGGCTAGTGTCCCTGACTTCTGGGCTGGGCTGTTGATTGCAGGGTCCCTCTAGCACTCATATCAGGAGCAGGGCAGCTACTCTGATATCCTTTATCTGAACAAATGTTGCTGCAGACCAGAGAGCAAGCTGCAAACTTTCATGCTCTGTGGCCCCCAAGACAGAGGGCTGGCTTCCTTCCCACACATCTGTCCTCAAAACCTGGAAACCATAAGTCTCAGGAGGGAGTCCCTGGAAAGACCCAACCCTCCTCCCACAGAGTGCAGTTCCCAGCCTTCCCATGTTTCTAGTTTAATCAAATGTCAGGACTGATCGTGAGAATGGGTTACCCGTAAGTCATGAGGGGCTCATCTCTGAAGATGGATTTGATGTTCCCAGGAGAGCTAGGACCATGAGCAGTCACCCGTGAAAGTGGCAGCCTCCTAGGGCCTCAAGGGATGCATCCTGGCCTCAAGGGATGCATGGCCCTGTGTCACTCTGGCACCTCCAGGAAGCTGCTTGGACTCATGGTGCCTGCTGCTTGGGAACCAGCTGGTTGCCACGGAAATATCCTAGTGCCCCAGTCCTTAGGCCACAGGGGTGGTAATGATGTCTCAACCATCTGTAGTGTTGGGAGGGCTCCTTTCCTCCTCTCCAAGATGGGGCTGCCTTTGCTTCCAGCTTGTAGTGGGGGTACACGGCAGTAGTGTTCTTGGAGTCCAGGTTTAAAGATGACCATGAGCTCCTTACCACTCTCCCCTCCTGAGTCTAGGCTGCCCACAGGACTTGCTATAATCAATAGGAGGTGGGACAGTGACCTTGTGCCGATGTCCAGTCTACGCCTGTCCACGGAGCCTGGTCACCAGGTGATGGCTTTTTGCCTGCTGGAGGGACCACAGAGGACATGCAGGTATCACCAGTCCTGCTATCCCACCCATCTCAGAGGTGGCCCCAGAGCTGAGCTGGTGCCATCCTGGATCTCCTGTCCACAGCCAGATAACCATCTCACGTAGCCCAGTTTAGGGCACGCACAGAGATGATGCTTCCAGTCACTGTCCTGGGTGATCTGTTTGCAGCAGTAGCCACCTGGGATGTTTGGGATCTGTGTCATGTCCTCTGGGTGGAGTCCATCATTGATAGGAAAGGCAACCCTGCTTTTTCTATGTCCAGGAAAGAGGCTTTTGACCAACTTAAAACAAAGTTGCATTTATAAGACCCCAATTTCATGAGGAAAAGACTAGGAAGAGTCCTATAATCCAGGCCCCAAGGAGGCTTAGAGCTCCTCCCTGCAAACCCACCTGTCCACCCGCTGCGTAACCCTCCTGGATAACTCCCTCCAGTGGCTTCGATGTGACAGGGAGAATGGTTTTTCTGAGAGCACACAGGGGAGTCAGATCAGGACAGAAGGCTCAGATCAGAACAGGGTGGGCTTGGGATCCTGAGCAGTAATGGGTCAACTATAGGTGCCTCTGCCTCCTCATCCAGGAAACAGGGACTCAAAACAACTCCCACCCAGAGAGTGCATGAGGACAGAAGCAGACCCCAGAGGGACAGCTGCCCATGTGCACCAAGAACCTCTCTGCTGAGCTTGGCTCAGGCTCCCGGGGGCTTGGTCTTCCCCAGCTCAGTGGACACAGCCTCAGCTGAGATCTGCTGTTCACTGGCAGTGGTGTCCAGGGGCACTGACCCCTGGAGAAAATCCAGCTGGCAGGGGGCATTCCTGTTATCACAATGAATGGGGACTGTCACCTGACAGGTGGGCAGGGTCCTCGGTGTAGGCAATAGAGAATGTCCACAGGTGAAGACTTATCCCTCTTGACTTTGAATGACCATTCAACATCCACATAGAGGAAAAAACCTACGCATGAGAGCCAGGGCCTGAGTCCACATGACACAAACCAAGGTATGTTTTTGTCCTAGTAAATATGCAGTAAATACATGTTTCAAGGGTGTGAGAATCAAGTGAGAGTGTATCCTTTATTCAAAAGATTGCCAGCAGCTGGGAGTTTATAAGCAGTGTTCCCTCATGGATTCTAAGGCACATTTGCATCCATCTACACTTGTCCCTGTCATATGCATATTAAGTATCTTATATAGTGTTTATTTCACAAGTCAAATGTGAAAGAAACTAGCACTTGTGAAAAGAAGTGCAATACTAAAATGTGTTTTATTTACAAATTGCTTCCCTTTATTTCTCCTTGAATTGTAGAGCATTAGATGGGGTGGGAGCTGCTAGTATAGCTTCCCTGTGACTTTCATTTCCCACAGTAACAGGGTCCTCTGGACACATGCCCTGAAGGGTGCCGAGTAGGTGGAGGGGAGCTGGCTGGTGGTCTTGCTGAGGCAGTGTCTGATGTGAACAGGGGTGGAGGCTCTGGAAAGCAGCGGGGCTGCTGCTCTCTACACCCAAGCCCACCACACAGGGGCTCTGTCCTTGACCACACAGTATGGTTCATGGTGCCAGCCTGAGCCTGTTGTTGAGGATCCCACCAGGTAATGGAGGGCTGCAGGAGCCAGGGAGAGTGGCGGAGTGGGGAGACACACAGTAACCACCACCACAGAAGGCTGCAGGCCAACGCCTCAGTGCAGGCTCTGAGGCTGTCCTGAGCAGCATGTGAGGCATACCATGGGGCTGAGGTCTGAGCCTTACTTCTGCCATGCCCCTTCCCAGGACTTCCTCAAAATCCTCAGCCCTGCTGTCTGTCACGTGGAGGCCAAGTGGCTGTCGTATAGGACACAGAGGGGCCAAGCCAGGTGTCTGGCCCACAGCAGATGAACAGACAACCCTGGCCATAGCTAAGTGGGGCTCCAGACCTGAGAATGGGTGTACTTGAGATCACCTGGAGCCCAACCCATGGGAAGTAGCTGGGTCCCTGCATGTCCTGCTGGCCTGGCTCTGATTCCTTGCCTCCTGCCGCGCGCATCTCACTCTCACATGACTAGCTGGGAAATGACCTGGAGGCTTCCAAGGGGCAACAGCTGGGAGCAGAGCAGCTGAAACAAACCCCCATTGCATCGTTTGTTGAGCACCTGTCCTGCTCCAGATTCCCAGGAGAATGCTTCACATGTGTATCCCTACTTGCAGGGTCTTCTCAGGAGAAGCCAGTGCCCACACCCAAGTGCAGGACAAGCCACAAGCTCTGAGAGGCAGTTGGGTAGGATGGGGTAGAAGCTCAGGTGTCACTGAGTGGGTGTCAGGCACCAGGAAGGCAGCTCTGGGACAGAACAGGGACATGCACTGCTGGGCAGATCCTCAGGCTGCTGAGTACAGAAACCCAGGCTTCATGACTGGAGATAGAACAGGCAGCACTCATGGGGAGATGTCTCCAGAAACAGAATCCCTGAGAAGGAAATCTGAAGGGGCAGAGGACAGAGTCCAAGGATTGAGGGGCGCTCAGGAAAGGAGGCCAGAGGGGGACTTTCCAAGTCCCACCTTCCTGCAAAGCAGACACTTGTGAGAATGTGCTGTCCAGGTCAGAACAGTTCAGGAACTTGGCCAAAAACAGCTTTAAGAGGCAGAGCCAAAATGCGGTTTGAGCTCATCTCTTGAGAAGGGAGGGAGGGAGGGATTTGAGGAAAAGAGGAGTGAAACTAGGTCAGCTCATTTTAGCATTGCCTAAGCAGAACACACCTTCTCACTCACTTTGTTTTCAAGTCTCAGGTAAATTGTGCCTGGCACAGGATGACTTTTGCACCCAGGACACTGTGCCAGCCTCCCCTTTCTGTCCCTGGGTGGGGTGGCCTTGTGTTTATCTTACCTCTGGACTTCCTCTTGTGGAACACAGACTGGCAGATGATGACCAGGGTGAACAGCAGGACACTGAGGATGCCCACACAGCACACAAGGACGGCGTACATGTAGAGATCTGCAAAGTGAGGACATGCAGGCCACTGTCAGCAGAAATGCACAACAATCCTTGTGGGAATCCACACGGGATTCCAAAAGTCCCCAGACTGCAGCCTCCAGGGTTGTGGTAGAAGGACACGCATGGATAAAACAGAACGCAGAGTAACACAGAAACAGCCACACCAATTTTTGACAATGGAGAAAGCACTTCAGTGGCAGCAGGATCACCTCTTCCATAACTGGCGCTGGAGCAACTGGATTTCCGTTGGCAAAAAATAAAATTAACTTCTCATGCTATATATAAATTAACTCAAAATGCTCCAAGCTGCTCATTTAAAATGTAAACTAGCAAACTTAGAAGAAACACAGAAGAGTCTTTGGGATCTAAGACTAGGTAAAGAGTTCTTAGACCTTACGCCAGTAGTGTCCTCCATATCAAACTTGAAGGCTGGGAGTGGCTTATCAGCAGAGCAGTTATCGGGCACATATAAGGCCCTGAGCTCAATCCCCAGCACCATAGTATAAGTAAAATAAATAACTTGACAAATCTGGTTACATCAAAATTGAAAACTTTGGCTATGTAAACAACCATAGGAAGAGGGTGAGAAATTTAGCTACAGACTGGAAGAAAATACCTGCAAGCCATGTACCCACGACAGAACTAAAGAACTCTCAAAACCCAACAATAAAATATAAATAAATAATTCTATTATTTAGAAAGTCAGCAAGACACACGGAGACATTTCACGGAAGAAAACATACAGGTGTGCAGCAATCACATGAGAGAATGTTTAACTTCTTTAGCATTAAAGAAAGGCAAAATTAAACCAGGATGGAACACCCCATACAGCGTCCAGCCAGAATGGCTAAAATGAAAAGTGGTGACACCAAATGCCAGCCAGGACGTAGGTGAGCTGGATGGTCCACTCATGACCGGTGAGAGTGTAAAATGGGGCAGCCATTTTGGGAAACTTTTGGCCATGAAAATGCCCGACACTTTCACTGTTGACTACTCAATATCCCCAGCTGTTTTTCCCATAACAAATGACCCTTAGATGAGCATCCATATGAACCTTAGTGCGGCTCGCACTTGAAGCTCTTAAGATGAGATTCCTGGGAGTGCAGGTGCTGAGTTGACAGGAACACACCTTATAAAGCTCTTGGAACCAGGAGAAGCAAACAGTCAGGTGCCTAAACTGAGGAAGCCAGGGCTGGGAGCAGCCAGTGGTGGGGCTGGAGCCACAGGCGAACTGAGGGTCCATGAGAAAGCAGGGCATGGGGGAGGGGCCAGAAATTCAAGCTCTTTCCATCTCTCCTTGATCTGGCTCCCAATGGAGCAGATGCAGCCTCTGCCCCTGGAGTTCAAGGGTCCACTCGTCTTCTTAGAGCTGCCCCGCTTTTCTGCCTGAACTAGCTGGAGCAGGCTTCTGCTCCTGGCCACTCAGAAGTCTGAGCTAAAAATAAAATGCAGATTTCCTTCTCAATCTATGGCTTCAATCAAGGGTAGAGCAAAACTATTCTTTAAAAAACTGCATCTGTGCTGAATATGGAGAGACCTTCTCCTAGTCATTATTCCCTATACAATGCAATGTAGGAACTATTTGCATGGCATTCGTATTGCAATAGATTTTATAAGTCATGAGGAGATGATGTAACATGCGTGGGAGGTGTGCATAGGTTATATGCAACCAAGATGCCATTTCATATATTAAAAAGAAAACGCATCCAGGGATTTTGGTATGGGGCAGGGGTATGAGTCTTACTGACATCGTGGACCACTTCAGGGAAGGCAAACCTGTACCCACATGTGAGGGGGCCAGGAGGGTAAACTAAAGGAAGAGCCTCCCACAAAGGAGCCTGGGGTGAGGCACAGTGCGCACAGGAACCAGGGAGCTTTCTAGAAACCCAGAGTAAAGCCTCAAGGGCAGAGGGGAACACCTCCTGCATTTCCCATGTGGAAGCTGCTGGGAAAGCAGGGGCAGAAAGCCACACCAGAGGGACAGGGGGAAAGCTGGAGGTCACCAGACAGGAGGTGCGCAGGATGAAAACAGTAAAAACTGTCCTAGCACTACAATCAGAAGTGTCTTTCTGGGGATGCGACAGTGTTTCCAGGCGAGCACCATAGACTGATAGGTGGAGCTCCAAGGAGTGGTCAGTGAGGACAGTGTCCTGGGCCTCCTTTTCAACAGCATGGGCTGCACCAGCTGGGCTCACAGGTTCCCAGCAAGACCCCAACTGAAGGACAGAAGAGAGTTCACACTTATTCACGATGGCTCACCAGAACACAGGACGACTGGACCATGGCAATCCAGTGACCAGTCTTGAATCTGTATGCTGTTGGGAAAACCACTCTGAACAGAATTGCAGGGTCATTTCTGGCTTGAAAAACATGATAAATAACACAGTCACATTTCTAGGCCAGACAAAACTGGGACAGGTGAGCACTACATCTGCCCCAAAGGAACGCTAAGGGATGTCGGAGATATGGGACCTGGACCAAAGGGCAGGCCATTGGCTTCCGTTTCCTTCTGGAAATGGAGAAAAACCATCCAGTTGAAGTTTCCCTGCTAGGGAGCAGAGTGGCCTGACCTCCAAGCTCACTTTCATCTTTCCTTGGTTTTGGGCTGCAAGAAGCAAGGAGAGCCAGGACAGCAGTGAGAACAGCAACTGGCAATTCTCCTACAGGGTCCCAGCAGCTGTGCACATCTGGGGTTGCCCTACCCTGTCAGGAGGCACAGAGGATTGAAGGCCCAAGGTACAGCTGCAGGTTGCAGCCTCCATGATGTAGAGCAGAAGCAGCTAGCTCTCCACAGGCAGCTGTGGCTACAGAACCCCGAAACATCTGGCCAGTCCAGAAGCCTCAGTCTCCAGGCCAAGCACATGAGCCCTCAGGGCTGTGGCCATTGGCCAGAAGGCACTGTCCATCCATGTGGTTCTCTGCACACATGGGAACAGTGCCAACCCTGCCTGCTTTCAGCTCTGTTCTTGAAACCACGGGAACCTTTAGACGTGTCTCTTTACCAGAGAAGACAAGCTCAGAAAGAACGTCTGACTTTCCTGGATTGGCAGCAACCTGACTCCTAAAATTCGGGGTTTTCCTTGTTTCCAGTATTCCTCTTGTGGCATAAAACAACCATTTGCTGAGCCTGTTCAACCCACTGACACCACCTCCCTTCCTGGAGTGTCCTGCAAATAATGGCTGGACCTTGATCCATAGAAGCCGCAGAGTCATGTCACCCTTCGCCAGGACAGCCAGGTGGCGCTGAACCTAAGCCTGCCCTCCTCCCACCGTTGTCAGGCTAGAAAGGGGCTTGGTATTCCTCTAGCTTCCAACCTGTCCTTCCATCATGCATGAAAGCAATCTCTCTAAAAATGTTGGCTCAAAAGTTTCAAAACTCAGATCTGGCCAAACAACACTTGTCGAAAAGCTGAGGCTAAACCTTCAGGCCCAGATTTAATAAAACCTCTGCAATTTTAACCAGATCTGAAATTAGTTTGTAGAATACTACATAGGGTGGAGGTGTAGGCAGTGCTTGCCTCGCATGCTGAGGCCCTGAATTCAAACCCCAGCAGCACAAAATTAAAATAAAGCAAAATACTCCAAAGGCTTGCATATGCACAGTATTCTAAAAACCATATTATCATTCCGGCATTCACTTGCCATTTCATTTTTTGCCATTGGACTTCCAAAGGCACCCTTGCCATTGTTAGACTCGACCGCACAAAATGCCCAGGTCTCCCTGAAACAGATGGGTCAGCAGGATGGGGTGTCTGTGCACACTGCAAGGAAACCAGCAGGGTGACACTGTCAGCCTGCCAGCTCCCACCCTGGCACCTGTTGCCTGGCAACCCAGTGGAGCATTCATCTGGGGCTTCTCTGGAGCGTGATGGCCCCAGCATTCCTCAACACCATCCAGGAACCCCACTGACCTCCCTGCTCCTGCTGAATCCACAAAATCAGGGTCAGTGTTCTGCATTTCCAGGGCAAATTAAGGCACCTAGGAGATGGAGTTCTAGCAATAACACTGTGTACTTCTACTATTTTTTATGCAGCCTGTAAAACCATCTTGCTCAGGGTGCAATACCTGAGCAATAGCCCTGAGGGATTTTAACTTGCTCTGGCATCTCGTCCAGGGGCTGGACAATCGATGCTTGTTTTGTTCAGCAGGCACACAGCCAGACTGAGCTAAGCCCCAGGAGGATGGCCATCCATCCTCAACCCACAGTGAAGTGTTCTCATCCAAAGAACAAAAGGGCAGAAGGCCTGAAAGCTTGTACTGGAGACTTTCATCACCACGCCTGACCTCACCAAAACTGTGGCATGTTAAAAAAGCAAAACACAGATGATTCTGCTGCCGCCACCACTGCTGCTGCTGCTGCTGCTGGTGGTGGTGAAATCAGAGGAGAGGCCAGCTGGGAAACAGCTGCTCTAGGTATGCAGGAGGCAGCAAGGACATCAGCTGCCTGGAGCCTGGCTCTGAGTCTCACCATGGAGAGGGCATGCATGCCATGTGACAGCTTCCACCAACAGGAGTGAAGTGATGGGGCACAGTGCTCAGAGGCTCTGGTGATGCTGGGTGTGTTGGGACCAGGCAGTGCAATCTTTCCTAATACATAAAGTTTGGTTGGGGCTTCCACCATGTTCTTAAATATAGTCCTCAAACCACTTGCGTCAAACCATCTCCGACCACCTCCAACCCTGAGGAAGTGCAAATTCTTCCAGTCCTTCCTGATGTAGTAATCAGAACCTCTGGGGTAAGGCCCTGAGTCTCTCCAGGGATTCTTAGCACCTGATGAGTCACAGCCCCCCTGACATACATCAGAGCCCCAGGATCCACCCCACCACTGGGCCAGGGCACAAGGCAGCCCTGGAAATGTGGGTATCAATCAGCTGGGTTGCCTCAGTTTGACTAAATGGAAAAAGAAAAATAAAGCTTGATTTTTCTACTGTGTTAATCCGGGGAATAATGGCACTTTCATCCCTGCCCGTGGAGTAAGCACTCCTTGAATGAGAGCCTTGGGGAGAGACGGTGGACTACTTTGTTAAAAGAAAGTCATCGGATAAACAAAAGGCTGCTGGAAAGGGTGCAGAAGAAGAGCCAGGGGATATAAAGGGTCATTGTTTCTGCCCAAGCACAATCTCAGAGAAGAAATACTCAGGACTCTGAACCGAACACCACATCCTAACAAAGAGCTAGACTCCTCTGCTTGGCAAACTTGTTCACAATGAAAGTGACTTTGTCCTATGTGGCTGCACCTTGACACCATAATGCGAGGTGAAATAAATCAGACACACAAGCTCAAATGACACGTGGTTTTTCCTAGATGAGAAACCCGAAGCATAAATAAATGAAAGAACACATTAAAAGACAGATAACAGGAAACACAGAGATAAATCTTTTACAGATGGAGAGGGAACAAAGAGGTGGAGAGAGGAGAGAGGGGAGAGTGAGGGCTGGGGAAAGGGATGCAGAAAGAATTAAGATGTGTTATATACATGTGTCAACTCCCCTTGATAAATGTAACCATGGTATACCATAAACATGGACTAAAAAATAAATAAAAATTAAAACTAAATTACATTTTCCCAAGAGAAAAGGTACCTTGGTGCATCCTCTCGTGGGGGGTTTTGAGTCCAAAGACCCCCCCCTCCTGAAGCTGCTCCCCTTCTCTGGCCTCATCCGGCCGGGTCATTCCTCATCAATAAATCCCACACCTCCACAAAATTCTAGGTCACCTTTAACATCAACTAGTCTTTCCTGAGCCAGAGGCCCTGCCTGAGAACTTACACATACAATCTTTCACTGTTCGATTCATATTCTTCAGTCACCTGGATGGGGGTGACAATTTCTCTAAACTCTCCTTTCTCCAAGGCCCAGCTTGGTCTTGACACTTGTGGCCAGAGTTCTTTGATGTGGGAATGTGAGGTGCACTGTGAGATGGTGACCATTGTTCCTGGCCTCTACCCTTCAGGTGCCAGGAGCAGCCCCACAGTGGTGCCAACCAAATCACCTGGTGACACCCCAGACTTCTGACCTTGAGCCAAGGCAGAGCCTGCAGAGGGTTTTGGCAACAAGTGGCCAAGTGACACTAATGCTGCTGGTAGGGAACTCACAGAGAACCTCTGCTAAGGCAGTGGACCCCAGCCTGGCTGCGGGCTGGAATCATCTGAGGTACTTTCAGTAAGTAGCAACCAAAGGAGAACCCCTCCAGATGTGGTACAGGCATCTGTGTTGAGATCTGCCTGGGTGACTCATGAGGATGGGAAAACAACTTGCTTGAAAATTTTCACACTTTCTAGAACCCCAAAGTCCTTAAGCAATCTGAAGTAACACAAAGTCACAGTGATACACTTTTTACTTTTTTACACATCATCAACGGTCTCTCCTTAATGTCACCTAGAGTAAGAATTCTGGAGCAAAATAGTACCAGAAAACAAACTAATCTATGCAATTTGGCTCTGTAACCAGTACTCTTTCCAAACCTGTAGCTGAGACCCCAGGGTTTCCCCTCTGACTCCTAAATTTCAACCACAAAACCAAAACTTGATGTCATGACAAAACCAAGAAGTTAGGGTTCTTTCTTCCTATTGTCTAAAAGTGAGTCTGCATCTCAGAACAACCAGACAGGCCAGGGATTTAGCTCAGTGGTTTTGCCGCCTGCCTCACAAACGCAAAGTCCTGAGTTTGACCCCTAGTACAAAAAAAACAAAAAACAAAAAACAAAAAAACCCTCAAATTACACCTTAAAACAACTGGGGCAAACTTACCTTCAAAAAATGCCCAGGTCTCTTTTTTCTTCTCGAAAGGCGAATCTTCTGAAGCTTTGAGGGAAGTCACTGTAAGACACAAAAGCAACAGTGTAGCTTGAAGTACAGCTGTGGTCCTGGCCCACCATGGTGCTTACATGAATAAAGTAATTTTCTCACTAGCAAAGCCAACTGAATGGGTATCTCATCCTCCATCACATGGTTAAATCACACACACTTTCAAGTTTGAGGGGCACAGAGAATTAGGTGGAGATACTAATTTCCAACTCCCTAGCTGTGGGACCCTGGGCTTCCTTGGGTCTTCATTTCCCCTTGGGGAAATGATGACAAGTGCCTGTGTTAGGTGAGTGTGAAGGTGAAATGGGTTAATGTGTATGCAGTGTGGAGACAGCGCTGAGACCTGGCGAGCCATCTCTACCCACAAGGACACCAGCTCCCCAAAACAGGACTTTTTGTCCATTTTATTTGAGACTCTACTTCCCATGCCTAAATGGGCCTCAGTTGCTTCACCCAAGCATGAATCTCCAATATCCAGATGGTTGACATGAAAGGCTCCATCCTTGCAGCTGAATCTGTACCCACTGGACAATCCATGATCGTCCCAGCCAAGATCCTCAACTTCAGGTCACTTTCATTCATCTTTCAAGGGCAGAAACTGCGGGTCTTCAATTTAATCTAATCCTAGGCCTTTGGCTTCATGTGGGAAAGAAGATGGCAAGTTCTCTGTAATACAGTTAGGGAGATACATATTGGAAAAGCTCATAGACTGAGATTCTACACTAAAGAGGTTTTAAGCAAGTAATGAATGGATGCTCCCCATTTTCCCCATTGCAATTATTTTATGAGAAATGTGGCAACTCTGTGGTATTAGAAGGTTAACCACACCAGTCATAGTCTTATCTGCTCCTGCAAAACAGAAAAATCTTTATGTGGACCCTGCCAGAGCTTCAGAAATGCTCCCAAGGTTCTGCTGTAACTATCTTGTTTCAGCTGCTAATCCTGCACTATCTCCAAATGCATTTTGATATATTGTAAAGGATGTGTCCAGGTCCACAGGCTTCCAGGAGACAGGGCTGTGGGATACAGCCAGTCCTACTGCAAGGGCTCCGTGGTACACAGCCTGTCCCCACTCAGCTAACTTTATTAACCCTCTTTCCCACACTGGACAGCTGCATGCAGCTGATATAAATTGACCTCGGTCAGCCTGCCCTGTGGGGCTGGGAGAGAATGAAAGACTCCCAGAATACTTCATGCTAGGGGCTGCAATAATAGCTCAGGACTAGAACTGTGCTTAGCATGCAAGAGGCCCTGGGTTCCATCTCCAGCACAGCAAAACTTTATCACCCCCGCAAATCCAAACCAGACCAAACAAACAAAAAACAAGAGAAAAGAGGCACATTTTCCAGCCACAGGTCATTCACATTAGCCAAAGACTTCCTGAACTAAAACACCCATCTCGTGATGAAAGAGCACATGTGTTTCCCATACAATCAGCTGTAGAAATCTGCAGCCTCTTCAATAGGGGCAATAAAGCTGCCCACCTGTGATGGTTTGGAGCTCTGTGTGGCCCAGCCAGACACAGGAACAGTGTTATGGAGATGACAAGCAGCCCTGGAACCCACGTTACTGGACCTTCCAGAGCTCTCGCCTGCAGAGCTTCTGGTCAGGACCTGGGGGATGGGGTCTGCCCTGTAGGCTCTGGCATAGGCTGGGGTCCCTCCCCTCCCTGCAGCTGGCCTGTCAGGATGCTCTCTCCTCTCTTTCTCCCAGCTCTGCTCAACATCCATCGCCTTCCCCAAGGTTCCCTCTGCCAGATGAGAAGACCATGGTGAACACCCTCTTCCAAGCAGCCTGTATCTTGCCTCATGCTCTGACACTGGTCTTCCAGCAAAGGATGCATGGAGCAAACCTTGTACATCCCCTTGAGAAGGCCTTGTCACCCCAGCTGCCTTCTGCCCCCCTGTAACCCCTCATGTGCATCTCTGTTCTCCTATCCCTGCTGCATCCAGGGGCCCTCGAGTGAGTTGGTATGGGCCCTCACCTGCTGCTCCTGTGAAGCAGGAAGCCTTTAGTCCCTCCATGAGCCCAGAAGTGAGAAGGGGACAGGCAGGAGTACCACTGGTTGGGGAAGTGGAGGAAGCCAAACTCCCTGTCTCAACCCTGCTTTAGCAAAGATAAAGTCGTGTAATGTTTTGTTTTCTGTTGGGGTGGGGTAGAAAGGCTGAAATGTAAGGAGGGACAAGTTGTGAGATCCAGTGGGTCACTGCTCTCTGCAAGGGCTGGCTGATGGTTGTCACAGGGTCACATAGTCAGGAAGCATGCAGCCCAGAGCTCCCCAGACAATCTGAGTGCATCAGCCCTGTGTCTGCCCAAAGAAGGAACCTCAGTTAAATCCCCTTTGACAGGTCCTGTGGGAAAAGCATCACCAGGAGACACACACAACCCAGAAGCCCAGGATCCTGCCCTGGAGGAAGGTCCCAAAGGTTTCCCTGGAAAAGGTGGGTCCCAGGGTTCCCAGGATGTGAGCTCACACTGAGACCTGTGACCATACCCTCTGGGCACCAGGGGCCTCTGCTGTCACCACCCATTATCTGGACTGACTCTGGTTATCCACAGAAGGTCTTTCAAGGAAAGATCTGTTTCTCCTGAAATTCTCCCTCCCTCTATTCACCTGTGACTCCAATCCCTTTAACAAAGAACCATACAATTAAAGGAGCTTAAAATGCACCAAAAGGTTTCATCCAATACAAGATCCACGTTCTGACACAGAAATAGCTGGAACTTAACATTGTATGGAGGAACAAGAAAGGGCCCTGGGAAGCAGGGACCAGCACATGGCAAAGGCTGACGCTGAGCTGGGGATGTGGTTCTGGCCGTTCTGTTTCCACCACTTGTCAGGCTGAGAGAAGATCCGCAGGACTTGCCCTGAGGGAGTCACCTTCACTTGGTACCCCAAGGCCAAGATCTGTAATGCACATTGCAGAGTCCTGGAGACCCACCTGATGATGGGGGACACCTCCTGGGAGAGTCTGAGCTCCAGGCCCTGGGAACCCACGTGGCCAAGCCTTGCCTTCAGCCAGACAGGAATGAGTCCAGGGAGCGCAAGAGAGGAGGCACATAGGAGGAGGGACTGAAGCCCAGCCTCCATTTCCTGGCCAGCCTGGGCAGGACCGAGAGCCCCACCCTTCAGTACTGCTGCTTCAATTCAACCCAGAGGAAGTGAGAGGAGCCACCAGACACCTGATGTCAGCCCGTCACAGAAGTGCTGTCCACTCAGTTCTGTGAAAGGGCACTTTAATAGTAAGTCCCAGTGCCGAAATACATGATGCACAGAATACAAGTGTCAGGACAAAGCTACTGTGGAAAGCACTGGACCTCTCTAGGGACAGGTATGTCACCCAAGGGGATGACTCTCAGGTCTAGAATGGAGACCCCTGAGTTCCACTAGCCTTTGTGCAACGATTCTCTAGTGTCTCACACTCCCTGTTAAATATATTGCCATAAAACACATCACAGAGCATGTGCTTTTACAAACTCATCTTGATGGTTATCTGGTTTCTTCACTGTTGAGTCCTCAGCCCGTTGTTTAGGTCATAGTTACTTTGAATCAGTGAATGGAGTCAGGAGTGGTGGCACCTGCCCGTAGACCCAGCTGTTTGGAGGGCTAAGGCAGAAGGATTGCCTGAGCTCAGGAGTTCAGGGCTGGCCTGGCAATAGAAAAAGGCCTCACCTCAGAAAACAAAAACACCTGAATGAATGATATGGTTGCGATACCGTGTCAGTGAGTCAAGGTAACCCAAAGGGAATGTGGCCCAAGGACCCTGACCTCCTCACATCCTGGAAGATTGGGAAAAGGCTAGGGCAGGGTCCCCACCTACCCAGCCTCCTTCCTTCACCTGGAGCCTCAGAACCCCAGGGACATCCGCACCCTAGCCCTCGGCACAGATCAATTGGAAAGAGGGCAAGCAGAAGAGAAGGGTGATACAAAGTAAGCCTAAGTAGAGAGGCTTGAATAAGATGGCACTTCAGCTCAAATGTCAACACACTCACTTCATTGTCCCTTCCTTTTGAAGGACAAGGTCCCCAGGGAAAGCACTGACTGACGTGGAGTCGAGTCCTTGCTATTTATAACTGGCTCCCTGTCCCTGGTGGAGGCAGCAACAGCCCAGAGACAACAGCCCTTCTGTCCTGTCTCCTGCTTCCTTTTCTCCACCCTCCAAACACAGGTCATAGGCAGCCTCTCCAGGGTGCAGAGCCAGCCAAGTGTCAGCAGGGCCTCCGACTGCTCTGCACAATGCCGTAGAAGAGACCAACAGGATCCCGGCTCTGTCCATTCTGCTGCCCCTCCCCTGCACTCTGTTCTAGACAGAGTCTAGAAACTGAGCAAACCACCGTACAAAGCAAAGGCAAGATGTCAAGTTGACTTCCTGCCATGGACCCAGCAGGTAGAAAAGAACATCTCACTCCCAAAAGGGGCCACTGCTGAGTGCAAAGTCACCCTGATGTCCCTACATAATGTCAGGAAACTGGAAATTGGTGGCTGCGACTGACCCATATACCACACTGCACTTTCTCCTCCATGTGCCATTTCAGTTGAGCATTCATCAGGGTTTGCATTACTCATTGGTTCATTCATCCAAACTCTCCATCCAAGCACTGAGTCCCAGGAAGGAACTGCTAACAAGAAATCTAACAGGGCCGCCGATGCTGAGGGCCCTGACTGGTCTACCTCTTGCTTATCACTGCTCACCCTGTCCCCTACCTGTGAACATGCATCCCACCCCATTTACTTCCTCTGCCTCTTGCCCACAGATGTCCTCCATGTGACCTTCTCACTCAAGGACTACATCCTTGTCCCTCCCTTAATCCCACATCAGTGTCACCCACGAGCATGACTGGCTCACTCTCTCCTCTAATCTACTGTGTCAATGAGGTCTATTAAATCCAAACTCATGTCTGCACAGCAACACTCCACTGGATTACGAGGCTGAGGGCCCCTCCACCTGACATCTTTCCACCTCTCCACCCTGATATCTCCTTGGCTGATGACAGTATGTAATTGATAATCT